AAGAGTTAAAGGGGCCATTAAGGGAGATGTCAGGAGTTTGGAGTATAGCTCATATATTGGGTGTCTCCAAGCTGTCGGCCCTCTCGTTCTACACCCCAAATTATCATGAAGACGGGTACCACGAACAATTCGATGCGAAACCCGCCACTGCTACAAGCATTGTTTTCAGTGCTACCGGTCGTAGCCGCTAGGTCGCTAGATTAAGAAAATGTGAGTAGTAATTATTTTGGGGATACTATGGTACCCAATATAGAGTAAGACTATATCCTCCTTTTGGGGTATAGTATTTCATATAAGGAATCTAATCTTACTAGGTTTAACCACCAATAGAACACTACCCATGTGAGTTTCCAGGCAGGATCCCGTGGGGTTCTGGGATCCCGCCGGGTTCACTGCGGATGGATGCTCGGATGGCAACAGTGCATTTTTTTCAACTTTGCTGCGGTCTAGGGAGTCTTGGGTTAAATGTTTGCGTTCTTGGTCTAACCAAAGGCTCCATGTAGTTACATGGTATACACTTGGGCCCTAAAGTAGTCATATGGGAACCATTTTGGGCCCTAAGTATGTACCATATAGCTACATGGAGCCTTTGGGTAAGCGTCTAGGGGTTGGGCGCTCGTGGCCACAGTTTTGAGGGGTTTGGCGAGAATTCATTTGGATGCCGTATCAAGTTTTTAAGGCATGGAAACATCCTGCGGCTTCAAATGTAGGATTTAGGGTTTTAGACACCCTTAAGTAGATAGAATACAGCTTTGGGTATGTTATAACAAGATCCCCACATACCCCGAAATCTATCTACTTAAGGGACTATAGTCCTTTGCTTGAGGACTTCTGGCAGATGATGTGGAGTTTGGGGATGAGGTTCATGAGATCTCATCTGGTCGGAGTTCAGGGTGTGGGGTTATTTGGTTAACCTTAGGTGGACCCACCACCCAGCAATAGTCACCTATAAGGGATAATAAGGATTATCTTGGGGTCCTGCTATATATAAGATTAGCATATGTTTATGACGCTCCCGGAAACTAACATGGAAACCCAACAAGGGCCCTATAAAGACTACAGTCCTTCTAAAAGGGGACTATATGGGTTTCCATGTTAGTTTGGGGTAGTGTACAGGGTGGGGGGTCCTAAACCCTAAACCTTAAGCCACAAGTTCCAGGCTCCTTCAACTTTCGGGAAACCCCTAAACCCTAAGGGGCTCAAGTAATCATCACTATCAATACGTAGGGATTAGGGTTTAGGGTTTATAAGTCATGTTTGCTTTACGCTATGCTAAAACAGGAAGGTAGCTGTGAGGGCGGGTTGATAGAACAGGGAAGGTATACTCCCGCTTAAGTAGATAGAATATGGCTTTGGGTATATTACCATATACCCCATATTCTATCTACTTCAAGGGGGACTATAGCTTCAGCATGCAGAAGGTGCAGGACATCAGTGCTGCAGAAGCTTCTTGCGCAAAACAATCCCTGCTTCTAGAGAAAATCTACCGCGGGTTTATCTTACTGGTTCTTTGTAGGGAACGAGGGAATTCAATATATTACGATTATGACGAAATTCCCTCATTCCCTACTGAGAACCCATAAGTTTATAGGCCTTGTAAGGATATGCTTTCATGTTCTGGGGTTCGGGCCCACGGACCGTTAGCTCGAGCCTTTCTGGTGCTGAATGTATTGTGAAGGAGTGGCTGGATATCGCTTTGCTTACTGGTCCTTCGTAGGGAATAAGGGACTATAACCCCAATATACTCCCTATATAGTACATTCACTTACTCCCTACTGAGAACCAGTAACTATGTTTGGGGACTATGTAGGGTGTAGTTTAGGGATGCATTCCTGGCAGGGGTAATTTCTTTTTGGGGTTCGTTGGAGGGGCCCCTGGCCTCCGCTACCACATTGTATGAGCTATAGTCTAAACTCCTTAAAGGGGGTTATAGAGGGGATTATATAGGGAACTACTATAGGGGTTATTAAGGGGGATACTAGGAGTTTAGGCTATGGCTCATATTGGGGGATTGCAAAATTTAATGGTGATCCTTATGCAGGGCTCTAGAGAGCATTTTTACAAAATGCTCACATAAGCACCAACGACATAAGCCCTGAACCTCAGACCCAAGTCATATAAAGCCTTTGAGGTCCCCGCATGCCCTGCATCCTACCTAAAAAAATAAATACGTCTGACAAAGCAAGAAGCAGTATGGTACACCATTCAGTCATATGAGCTACAGTCTAAACTCCAAAAAGGGAATTGTATAAGGGAATTTTATAGGGGCTATTAAGGGGCATGCTAGGAGTTTACTGTAGCTCACACGACGCAATCCCTAAGCCATGCGCCCTGAATCCTAAACCCCCAAAAGCAATAACGCACCTCTAGCAACCATAGGAAGAACAACTCGCACTGAATAGATCATTGACCGGGTACTGGATTTAGGGTTTAGGGTTTAGGGATATGGTAATCCCGAAGTAGAGCAAGAAAGCAGAATCCTGTCGATTGTCACTTCAACGGCAAGATCTTGCTTGACTTGGCTCAATCAATGGACCCACACCCTTCGCACATCATATCCCTAGGGTTCAGGGTTTATGGTCAGGGTATAACGCCCTTAAAGGGAGCTACGGATGTAACCACACTCTGGAGAAAGCCTCACATGCCGAGCTTGCCTAGGAGACGTGGCAGCCTTCAAGAGGCGGCGTTCCGTCGAGTTGCGACTCTGCTTTGGAATGATATGGTGGGCTTTCCAGAACTGTTTTGTGGTGTCCCAAAATATTAGGGCCCGTTTTATACTAGAGGGACCCTAAACCCTAAACCCTAAACCCTTAGGAATCAAGAAGGGATTATGGCTTTTGACAACTTACTTTCTCGGGTCCGGGGCCCAGGCTCATGGTAGCGGCTTTGGTTTGTTATTGTTGGGTTTAGGGTTTAGGGGTTTAGGGTTTAGGGGTTTAGGGTTTAGGGGTTTAGGGTTTAGGGGTTTAGGGTTTAGGGTTTGGTTTGGGCAAAACCAGAGAGCTCAATAGCCCTTAATTTAAGGAATATGCCCTAAATGGTACTAGGGTCCCTAATACCATTTAAGCTATATTCCTCAATTAAGGGGTATTGGGCTCCCCTGGGAAACTTTGTGGAGTTGGGGGATCAGTTCGGGACCTGACATAGAGCGTTGGAGAACTGCATCTCTCCGGCATTTTCCAAAGCCATTTCTCCATTTCTTTGGCGAACTCAGCCCTTAGAGACCATTGCTGCGTACATTTTACTCTCAACCGAAGTGGTGTTCCCAAGCAGTCTGCGCAGAGTAGTGCGAGCCCTGTTCGTTCTTGTCTGTTGAGCCACAATGTCACCGCACCGGTCTTGCAGCAGTAGGGAGATCCGAACAGACGAGCAGTGGGAGTGCAGGTGTTTAGCGTTTTGGGCCAGTTCCGTAAGCCACAAAGCCTCTTGGTGCATCAGCCCTCGAACTTCATACCGAAGCAGCTTCCGCTGATCCCTGGACCCTAAGTAAACCCGAAACATCAAATCCAAAATCGTATGTGGGTGGTTGTCAAAATTATGGTCCCTTTTTGGGTCCCTATTATAGTACGGCACCTAATATTTAGGGTACCCAAAAAGGGACCATAATTTTAACAACCACCCATGTGGTGATACTAAGGAAGCATGGCCGAATCTCCATGATGGCTGCCATGGGCGCCTCGGCTTTTTGAGCTTGCTGTGTGGGATTCAGGGTTCTAGGGTTTAGGGGTTTACCTGGACCCCAAAAGTATGTAAAATAACAGGCCTAAACGCCTAACAACAGCCCAAAAGGCTATAATTCTACATACTGTAGGGGTCCAGGTAGGGCTTATACAAATTTAGGGTTTTCGCTGTAGTAGGAAGATCTCCGGAACATCTCTCCAAAGAAGTGGAACGAGATAGCAAAGAACCTGGAGGCTGAAGCTGAACTCCAAAGGTAGCCCAGACATTCAATCCCAGCATAAAACCCAACCAGAGAAGACGACCAAACGAAAGGCTCCCCCCTTGGAGTCCGATGATTTTTTATACTTTTTTCGAGGCGGGAAATTGCACCCCCAAGCTCTGCCGGCTTTGCTTTGCATTCCCACAGGGTCCATGCATGTTATGGTATATACCTGGGCATCAGAATAATTGATGATGTTCAGGGTCTAGGGGTTTAGGGAACCCCGTTGGGCCCTAAATGTATGCTATACACCGTACCTACGTGGACCCCTTGGACATGTTGCTGCTACTAGCACTCTGCCAACATGTTTGTGGAAACACCCATACTACCATGTACGTACTATCTAGACCCTAACTCTTTAGTCCCCCTTAAGTAGATAGAATATGGCTTTGGGTATATTATAATAACCTCCCCCTATACCCATATTCTATCTACTTAAGGGGGACTATAAACCCTCTGAAACGGGCATTCCTACACCTCAAGAGCACAAGGCCCTGAAAAGTCCTCGCCCCGAACCTCGGTCTGGCTTTGTCGTTGGGAATTTACCATAAACGATGGGCCCTTTTGGAATCTCCATACCTACACCCTCCTCCTACCTTGTATTCGGGCCTATAAGTACCCACTATTGGGGACCATATATCCCCAATTAAGGGTACAAGGAGGGTTCTGGTAATAAGTATTATCGTATATGGGGGTCTGATCGCCCGTGAGGTTACATCACACCAGAAGTCACTGGCAAGCTGTCCGGGCCTCAGCAACGCCTTCTCGCACACGCACACATGCACAAATGCACCGCGAAAGCAGACCATGAAGACTTGTCTTTCGAACAAGGCCAATGCATCTGGTTCCATGTTTGTGTGTGTGAGTAGTGGGCAGTGGCAAACATCATTAGTCTCGTCGGAGAGAGCCAGACTACAGCGAAGACAGCAGCAGCGGCAGCAGCAGAAGTGCAGTCGGAGCAATACTCGCTGCAACACTCAACTTCAGTTGAAGTGTGTAGGTACCTGGCGAAGGGAAGATATTCAAAGTGCCATGCACTCTATGAACCCTTAGTGCGACAATGGTGACTGCGCTCAGGCCAGGTTTCTTGAGCCCATCGGCTGGCCTCAAGTTCGCCGACATCCCCAATGGACTTGCAGCGATCTCCAAGGTGCCGGTGGCAGGCTGGGCGCAGATCGCTGCGTATTTTGGTTTTGTGGAGTTCAGCGGTGGCTTCGATGATTACAAGAGCGGCACGCCCGGCGACTATGGCTTCAAGGTGCTAACCTCCAGCGATCCAGCTGAGAAGACCAAAAAGCTGGCAGCCGAGCTTGCAAATGGACGACTTGCCATGATGGCCATCATCGGCATGTTCTTCCAGGCGCACACAAACAGTAACACAAGTAGCAAAGAACGATCATGTCATCTTGGTGCACCCGCAATTTCATAGCGTGATATGATAGTTCTCATTGTTGTAGTTTTGGTTTGTTAGCGCTCCGTTGATAGGACGGCCTCACTGGCAGCGCTTGGGGAGACTGGGCCAACTACACCGCCTCGCCTTTGCGAGCATTCGAGAGCGAGCTCGGAGTGCAAGCTCCTGTCGGATTTTGGGATCCGGCCGGTTTCACGAAGGATGGCAACGCGGAGAACTTCGCTCGCCGCCGTCAGACAGAACTTAAGCACGGAAGGATCGCCATGCTTGCGGCGATGGGATACATTACCCCAGAATTCAGCAAGTGGCCAGGTTACCTGTCGCCCACTTTGGGCATCAAGTTTGAGGATGTGCCAAACGGCCTCGCAGCCATTTCCAAGGTTCCGATCGCGGGATGGACACAGATCCTTTGCTGGATGGCATACTGCGAGACTTCTCAGGACCAGTCAGCAGGCACCCCCGGTGCGGCTGGCGATTTTGGATGGTATGTGCTCACCTCCGACGATCCGGAGATCAAGAAAAAGAAGCTCGCAGCAGAGCTCGCTAACGGACGACTGGCGATGATGGCCATCATCGGCATGTTCTTCCAGGCCTTCATTGCAAAGACATGAGTCACATCAACATGTTCACTTCGGACTCTGGTGCAGTGATTGAGTGCGGCACCAGCATTCTAATGAATTGTGGGCTAAGTTTTCACGGCCGCAGTGTCTTGTTGTGTCCACGCGTGAGGATTCTAAATGAATGTTCACTAGTTCATATGCGCGGTTGATGTGGTAGCCAGATGACAGATCCAAGCATCTCATTTCTAAGATGTGCAGTTTTCATTGACAGGATGGTCTCACTGGCA